CCTAAACGCAAGTCCCGAAGTATATTATTGAGCTCTGTTATACATTGGGTGCTTGCACTTTTCAGCGCCTGTACGTGTGTATAATGTTTACACATCTGAAGTACTAGTTACTTCTGAAAACGTGGTTCGGTGAGAAAGAAATGCACAACACTTTATGATATGAATCGGTTGTTTTGGCGTGTTTTCGATGAACTGATCATGGGTGGTAGTGTCACACACAAGTGACCGCTCATGAGAGAGAGCTGATTCAGCACAGGTGACGAAGTAATAAACCTATCGCAAAAAAAACAACCGAAACGTTTCACTTCTCAAGAGAAGTGCTTGGTTAACTCCTTTAGTACAAAACCCGTTTATATGCTTTGAATAACAAGACATTAAGTACAATATTGAAAAGCATTATGTATCTGTTTTAAATTGTTTTAGCAATTCGTCAGTATATTTATATATACACATAATTCGTTCAATAACGAATATTAAATGTCAGGAAGTATGGAAAAGATACTGTAATGTTCAAAACCAAAGCACCTGGATTCATATTAGTGACTAGTCGGTCAAGTAACCGATTTATATGTCGTTTATAAATAGCGCTTCCGGAATTCGGCAACAATTTTTGCAGTACGTGACGGCCTTTAAAATTATCGAGAGTCGTTTTAATATTATAATTAAAAACAACAAAAAAAGAGTAATTCAGGTTACGGTTTTAATGGTTTCTCAAATAGGTGAAACTGCAAACAGTGGTTTTCTCCTCATCGGAGAACACTGACGTATCATCAAAAGAAGGAATCTCGGATTCTTGGAACAGAGCGCTTCGGATCGTATTCTCATTACGAGAAAAGCTAATGCTTCGCGAAGTTCCAGACGATTTAATTGAAATTAATGAGATTATAACTGTTTGTATTTGACTCTTATTTAACCTTTTCCGCACCAGACCATTAAACTGTAGTTAGTCCAAATTCATACATGCTTTTTTATAAAAAGAGCTTAACAAAGTGGGTAGTTCATAGGATATTTACTAAAAAAAAGGTATCAAACGAAATTAAACCCCGTACCTCGTGAAAACGTCGCT